AAAAAAAAAAAAAAAAAAAAAAAAAAAAAAGAAATGTAGGACGCTCTTGTACTCTTCCTGAACATTGGGTTTAGCTTCACGGACTGATACGTGAGAAATACTAAACTCTCCTTTTTTGCTCTTAGGAATCAATCAGTGACTTCTACTGGTATTATTCAGGGAAGGACGTCATTGATGAATCAGGACAGCACAATTTTTCCAAAGCCCTGGCGGTCACCAAGCAGATTTTCAATTCTCTTACGGAATACATCCAGGTATGTGCTAGAGAGTGCATGCCTGAAAACAAGAGAACATTTTTAACATTCCCATATTCTAATTCCCTACGGAATACTTGGCTGCATATGTGGACTGTGCATCCAGCTATAGCACTGACAATATTCCTTACCTATAAATAGAAACCAGTAGTACCTACACTCTACGAGAAGCTGTAGGTTATGGACCCCACTGTGACCTGTAAATAGCAGTGTCACACTTTATTTGCATTTATCTGGTTAACATTGTGCTTTCCCTCCTAGACTGAAATCTTTTTGTCAACGGAAAATTTCTTATTCGTTTTAAAATTCTTCATTTTTAGCATGTGTGGCACATCAGAGGTGTTCAGTAAGCATGGAGAGTGGAGTGGAGGAATGATTGATAGAATGAAGGAATAAAGGGACAAGTGGTATTATCTTGAGCCTTGAGATTAAAAAGAGAATTCATGAGAGCCTACTAATTTGTCAGAAATTCACTCTATGGAAAAGGTAACTTCAGAAGCACATAAACTAAGTGCAGTGGCAGTCAAATCAACAGGTAAATTTCAGGTTGAACGTCTCACAGCAGTCTTTCTCTGTTCACAGCATTCTCTACTCATTGCCTACAGTGGTCTAGCTACTGTGAAAAGGAGTAGAGGACGTCCTCAGGCCGAATTTGCTGTGAAATCAGTAGCCATATCATGGTGCTCTGTGATGTAATATAAGATTTTTTAAGATCGATATGTTGAGCCAACTGGCACACTCAGATCATATTTGCTTACTAAAATAAACACAAGACTAAGACTAAGACTTGAAAAGAAGGATTTTAAGGAAGATATTGATCCATGCTTTACTCAAGGATTGTAAGAACATAGGGAGATAAACCTAGGAACAGGTGACTGAGCTGAAGTTTCACAGCATGTGAAATACGTATGAAGGTCATTGAACTGATCTGACAAGCATCTGATTTGCTCTCTGCAGAGCCCATCCTAGTCTCCAGAACTTCCTATGGAGCACTTAACCCACATGTAAAAGAAAAGCGTATTTGGGGTGAATGTGAGTTTCTTTCAACAATCAGTTTTGTTTCAACAAAGAATCTAGAGGCTTCTAGGGATCAGACACCAAATGTACATGAACAGTGATTTTTAAACAAGCTTACTTGATTTAGGGACGCAGGCAAAATTTCTCCTGCTCACTTCTTCCCTGGGAATTCTGCCAAGCCTTTTCTAGAACTTGATACTAGAACACTAGTACCAGTGTTCCTTTTGAAAGTTTGTTGAAGCGTGATTTGGAGAGTGATTAAAGTGTAGAAAAATATAGGAAAAAGCTATAAGGAAGAGTTAAGGATAAAGAACATAGGCAGAATGTGACAGAAGGCTCTAAATGTATAAAATATATATGTATACAAAAGAGCCTCACTGAAGAGGTAGGGAATAAGGTGCTGGCCTAAGAAACTTTGGAAATGAGTACAGTCTGAAAGACCAAAGGCAAAAGGAGCTATACATAAGCACTTTGGTTGATGCAGTTTTTCCCATGTGGATATGTGTTAATAATTCTGAAACCATTATACATATATAATGGAAGTGAACCAGGTTTCTCACTGTTGGAGTGGGAACTTACAGAGGAGCAAGCAGAGGAGAGGGAAGATCCCTGTGGGAATGAATGAGAGTCAGAGACATTTGTGTGCTAAACTCATGTTCAGCTTAACATAGATACAAATGGTTACATATGGAAATATTTATGGATATGTGTATACACATGGATTAGGACAACACACATATTTCTGCTGCTCTGTCAGCCAGGAGGACCTGAAAAATGATACCCCAGTAGCAACAAGCACAACTAGAGCCCAGATCTTGGTTTCTAATACCATTCTCCATTGAAAGGAAATAGGGCTCCGTAGAGAAACGGCTGATTCTAGAACTAGGGCTGGAAACATACAGGATGAGCCTGGAGAATGCTATAGTGCAAGAGAATGCTAAAAAAAAATGATGGGGGTATGTCAAAGGGATACAGGAGCCAACTGAAAGAGCTCCCAATGGCCAAAACTGGAAAAATTAGAGCTACAGAAGAAAGTAAATAAAGTAGTACTGAATTATAACCCAAAGCATAAAATGAATGTGTGGAGTCCATACTGATATACATAAATGATTAAATAAATAAGAAAGAACAGACAACTCTCCATTCAGAAGAATTTCAAATAACTGATTTTTAAAAAGAAGAGAAAAGAAACAGTGGTTCAATAATGATCTTCCAAAATAGGAAAGGCTATTGACAGGAAAAATGCAGACTGGTCATCAAGTCATCCGTCTATGTCTGGCTTTCAGAAAAGATAGAGATGATGTACCTGACATTTAGGTTAATGATAAGAAGATCCTAAAAGTAGTTGAACATTAGGAATATAATTCAGATTTTTTCACTTAAGTAGATAGCCACATGGTCATCACATTTAACATGCAGCTTTGCCTGCAAACAATGCGTGCACAAGGGCCTGGTTTTCAAATTGTGCTCCTTGGAACCCTGGAGTTCCTCAGAACCCCTCTTAGGCCAAGGTGTGGGCCAGAGTCGGCAGGAGTACCCTTCAGTCCTGTTTCAACCAGAGCATTTACCTCTTAAATAATGTCCTCTAGCATAAGAACGGAAGCTAGAAGAAAATCTCTGAAAATCACCGCACTGTGACATTCCTAGTGATTTTTCCTAGACATAGGATCTTAAGATTGAGGGGCGGGGGGGACCCGATGGAGTGGGGAGAATAGTAATATCCTGGGAAAATATTGAGCTGCAAAATATGTGACTTTTGGAAAGAGCTCTCTACATATATGAGCTGATGTCAAATGCCCTTACTAGGGCAAGTTTCAGAGCAGCTTGTGATGCTCCAGTGAAATAAGAATGTCCTCCTCTCCGTAGGGCCCCTGCATTGGGAACCAGCAGAGCCTCGCTCACAGTAGGCTATGGGATGCAGTGGTCGGCTTTCTCCATGTATTTGCTAACATGCAGATGAAACTCTCTCAGGTACTGTGGCCCGTTCCCCGTTCCCGACGTGTCGTTGGTGTGAAACGCTAAGTCAACCCCCACCCCCTGGTCTTCCCATTGTGGATGTGGCTGCTTGATGAAATGATTGGAAAAGCCATGCAGATCAGGTCTCATTTTTAAAATGAGGGCCTATGTGGGAGATAGGAATGAACACCTGCGGGGAGGTGGGGGCGGGTGGGGGTGTCCCAGACAGGCTTTTGCATGAATGCAGCTTTCTCCCTTGTGTCCTTTTCATAATAGCCTACCCTTTTCATAATGGCCTCAACACTTGCTTTTTATGGTGCTAATCCCTTTTGCTTCCTTGTCACTGTTTTGCAATTTATGCACATGATCTACCCCCCTGTCTGCTCTGTCAGATGTCTGCATGTCTCTGTAACTCACATCTCCCTTCTCTGTCACCTTTGCTTCCCCTCTTCCCCATCTCTGCCTTTCCTTCTCACTCCCCATCTCTCTGGCAAGATCAATCGGAATCGCTCAGAGCATTTATTATGAACAAATAAATGTAGTGTCTGTAGTAGTCGATGGCCTCTCTCCATGGCAACACATGAGGGAGAACTTCAGGATATGTTTCAGGCTGCTCAGAGTAACATTGGCAGCATTAATTTAAATAATGTGTATCTAAAATTGTCAAGGCTCTCACATCTGCCTCTCTCTTTTGGAATGTGCTATTTTCCCCTTTCATTTTTCCCCTTTTGACTCTGGCCTTATGGGAGGAGAGAGTTCTTGGGAGGGCTGCCGATTTATCAGCCCAGTGGGGCAGTGCGGTGTAGAGGCTCCAGAGACAGGATCCTGACCCTGCCACCTCCTCACTGGTGTCTTCTGGGAAGTCACTTCCCCTTTCCGGTTTTTGCTTTCATCATCTATAAAATATTGGGAGTTAAAATAGACGACCTTTGAGGGCTCTTCTAGCTCTGACAGTCCACACTTCTCTGATGTTTTGTGGACAGCTGTGACGCACTCCAAAGGTGCTAGAAAAATCCCTCTGAAGGCTGAAGGGCCAAAGAACTATGTCTTTGTGAGAGAGAGTCTGTAAAAGAAGTGTGGCCGCGCAGAATGCATTTTTTAACCTCACCCTCAGACTCCCCCCCTCAGATCTTCCAAGGATTGTTTTGCTTCTGTGACACAGGTATCAAGCCCAGAGCTCACTTGGCAATGCCCTGTCTGCAATGCTGAAATGAAAGCCAAACAGACTGGTATCCAAACCATCCGGAGGAATGGCCTCGATGATATATTAATAACATTTTAAGGGACCACTGGCACCCAGATCACCACCAGTTAGAATCAGGAGAACCTAAATTAAGAAAGAAAGGAGAACCCAATTGGTGATTAGAACCTTGATACTTTAATTGGATTGCAGTAGTATTCCCCAAAAGCTCACTGGTAATTCTTCCGTATGAAAAATGGCAACCTAAGCTACTAGAGATACCTAACGGCTCTTTGGTGGATTGGGTTGTTCAGTAGTTTTGGACAACAATTGGTATATCTGCCACGTTGCGTTAATAAAAGGAAAACTGTAAAGGAACTCTTTTGTATGAGCGCTGCTGCAGCAAGCCTCCCGATGCTACAAAGAGAGGATGCTAAGACATCCGCATTCACCGTGAGAAGGGAGCTCATTCCGGAGATGGATGTAGCCTTCACCTGACCTTCCCAGAGCAGGCTCTCCTTGCTCACTGCCCTGTACTTTACTGAGGGATCAGATAGCTCAGGGGTATCTCCTGTTTCTGTTCTAGGATTCCAGTCAGATCGGGCTGCTGAAGGAACTCTTGGATCTCCTTCAGGACATGGTGGTGATGCTTCTGTCCCTCCTGGAAGGTTGGGCTGTTTGGTATAACTAGGCAATCACACAACTGTAATCGGTCCGAGCACTAACCGTACTAATCACGCAGATTATCCTTCTGGCAGGTCATTGATGCCATATGACATTGGTTAGAAAACCAAATTTTCAGAAACAAAAAAATGAGTGAGGGGCACATGGTCTGATGGACAAAGCCTGAAACCAACTCATTTTATCTCAGTAGGAAAGCCAGAATGAACTGGGGAAAACCTCCAAGCTTTGCTTTTCCCTATCCTCTCCCTCTCCCCATTGCTTTTCGATACATCTGGCTGCCAGTGTGTATGCCAGCCATCTAGTTGGGCACCCTCCTAGGTCTAGGGGGATTAGAGGGGCACCACTTATCCCTATGTGTCCCTGATAATCTGATAATGAAACCCCTGTCCAGGCCCCAGGCCAGACAAAAGGCACTGGTGTGGCCACCTCCTCCTTCCCTGTGTTTCTTTCCCCCTTGGCTCCTGGTGGTGTAGTCTTTATGGCTTGCTGCTCCCTCCTACCCATTTTCAAATCATCACGGTCAGAAAAGAGCTGACCGATTTGGCATATAAGTCTTCTACAAAATATCTGCCTGACCAGTTACATGATGACATGGGTTTATTTATGTATCTGTATGTCTTTTTGAACCTGCCTCACAGGGAATGTGGTAAATGGAACTATTGGCAAGCAGATGGTTGACACACTGGTAGAGTCCTCTACCAATGTAGAAATGATCTTGAAATTTTTTGACATGTTCTTGAAACTTAAAGACTTAACCGGCTCAGACACCTTCAAAGAATATGACCCCGATGGGAAAGGGATCATCTCCAAAAAGGAATTCCAGAAGGCCATGGAAGGGCAAAAACAGTACACGCAGTCGGAGATTGACTTTCTCCTTTCGTGCGCAGAAGCGGATGAGAATGACATGTTTAATTACGTTGACTTTGTAGACCGGTTCCACGAGCCGGCCAAGGACATAGGGTTTAACGTGGCGGTGTTATTGACAAACCTCTCCGAGCATATGCCAAATGATTCTCGCCTTAAGTGTCTGTTGGACCCAGCCGAAAGCGTACTCACTTACTTTGAACCGTACCTAGGACGCATTGAGATCATGGGTGAGGCCAAGAAAATTGAGCGTGTTTATTTTGAGATCAGTGAGTCCAGTCGAACTCAGTGGGAGAAGCCCCAGGTGAAGGAGTCTAAGCAGCAGTTCATCTTTGATGTCGTCAACGAAGGCGGAGAGCAAGAGAAGATGGAGCTGTTCGTGAACTTCTGTGAAGACACCATCTTTGAGATGCAGTTAGCATCACAGATCTCAGAATCGGACTCAGCCGACAGGCCAGAAGAGGAGGAGGAAGAAAATGAAGACTCTTCCTATACGTTAGAAGTTGAGGGTGAAGAGGACGACAAGGCTTTTGAGTGTGCCTCTGCGTTTGCCGTGGCCTGTGCCTCAGTGAAGAGAAACGTGGCCAACTTTGTGAAGAGGGCCACCCTGAAGAACCTCAAGAAGCAGTGTAGGAAGGTAAAGAAGATGACTCTGAAGGAGCTGGTGAAGGTGTTCCTCTCTTTCTTCTGGACGTTGTTCGTGGGGCTTTTCCACTTGCTCTGCGCCATACTGGGAGGAGTCTTTCAGATTCTCTGGAGCACGGTGTTTGGAGGGGGCCTCATAGAAGGCGCAAAGAACATCAGAGTCACAAAGATCCTGGGTGACATGCCTGACCCAACCCAATTTGGTATCCACGATGATGCGATGGAGGCCGAGAGGGCAGAAGTGCCCGAGCCGGGTATCGCCACGGAACTCGTGCGCTTCGTAAAGGCGGAGAGGGGAGATGCGGATATTATGTCAGATCTCTTCGGACTCCAGTCAAAGAAAGAAGGTGGCTTAAAGCATGGGCCTGAAGTGGGTTTGGGTGACCTCTCTGAGATTACTGGCAAGGATGAACCCCCCACGTTAGAGAGTACTGTACGGGAGAAAAGGAAAGCACAGGTAAGCATGATTTGTTTCTATCATCATCTTTCTTTATCCCTAGAAAAAGACTTGCCACTCTACCTTGCCGTCAGTACTGACACCAGTTCCTAGGAGGCGACGTTGTGTTAGACACCAGCTCATCTGTGATTACCCTGATCTGATAATTCCAGCTCTGCCACGTCTGGAGAGATGAGACTTTAGGTGGTTGTCTCAATATCTAATTGCTGAATGGTCTCCCAGTTTACATTGTAGAGTTCAAACAGGATGGTCCTTGACCCTCAACTTGCTTCCACACCTTTACTAGGTTAGTTCTCAAGGCGCACAGGTTCATTCAGTAACTGAAAGCATAGAAAACCAGGTATAGCAAACGAGGAGACCTTTCTGGTGAGATAAACTTCTGCAGTATCCTAAAAGGTCCAGATGTTATCATATGATTTAGCACAGTGCCCAGCGACTTTCATCACGCTTGGGACATTTTCATCCTTGTGATGCAACCACTATCCAGTTTGGACTTTGAGTCAGTCAACTAGATTAAGATAGCAGTAATTCAGAGCCCTTTGGCCTGAATGGAAAGTTCTGGGTGGTGCAGCATCCAGCTCACAGCATCATTCTAGCGATAAAGAGAGTATGGAGAGAAATGTAAAGCGATCAGAGCCCAAAGTCAACCTTTATTCATTTTGTTAAAAATAAATAAAGTGATTGATTGATTGATTGATTGATTGATTTATGGCTGAGTTGGGTCTTTGTTGCTGCACGGTGGGCTTTCTCTAGTTGCGGCGAGCGGGGGCTACTCTTCTTTGCGGTGCGCGGGCTTCTCATCGCGGTGGCTTCTCTTGTTGCGGAGCACGGCCTCTAGCCGCGCGGGCTTCAGTAATTGTGGCACACGGGCTTCAGTAGTTGTGGCTCACGGGCTCTGGAGCGCAGGCTCAGTAGTTGTGGCACACAGGCTTAGTTGTTCCGCAGCATGTGGGGTCTTCCCGGACCAGGGCTCAAACCTGTGTCCCCTGCACTGGCAGGCGGATTCTTAACCACTGCGCCACCGGGGAAGCCCCTTTATTCATTTCTTACGTGAATGTTTATTGAATAGTTAATATTCACTTGTCACTGTTTTAGGCTCTGGGAATACAGTGGTGAATGAGAAATGCATCATCCCTATAATTTAGTGGAAAAGAGAGACATTGGACAGGTCAGTACAAGCAAGAAGAACATTAGGACGTCTATCAGGTGCTATGGAAATGTATAGGAGAGATGTCTCACCTGGGTTAGAGAGTCAGGGAGAGAAGTATCCGAATCATAAGCATTCTGACAGTATTAATTTATTTATTGTTTTGCTCCCTGATGTCACCCAGGGCCTAGAACAGAGTTTGATACATAAAAGGGACTCATTCAAGGCCTGCTACATGCCAGGCTGTGTTCCTAGGATATGAGAATACATTGATTAACAAAAGACACAACACTTTTGTTTTAAAGGCGCTTAATTTCTAGTGGAAGAAGACAACAAATAATTATCATTTTTGACAGATGCTAAAATAAATGAACAAGGTCGTGTGTTACAGAATGAATGTGGGCCCTACTATAAGTAGGATACTCAAGGAACATCTGCAAAGGTATCATCTGAACCAAGTCCTGAAGAATGGCAGGCCCATCAAAAGCCAGGGCAGTCATATTCCAGGCAAATGATATGGCATGTGCCAAGGTCCTGGTGCAGGGAAGGATTTGGAATGTCCCAGGAAAGGAATGAAGGTCTGAATGTTTGTGCTGGAAATGAGTCAAGTGATGCAAGGTGAAAATGGAGAGAAAGGCCATGATCGTGTAGGCCTTATAGGCTTTGGTGTAGGGAGCTTGAATTTTATTCTAAGTGCAGTGGTCATCAATCAGAGGGATTGGGGTGATGGAAGAGAATTGAAGATACTGTCTGATGGACGCAGGTTCTGGATTGGACCCGTGTTCCGTCTCTCCCCGACCCCGTGAAGCAGGAGGACCACTGCCACGGGGCTCTGACAACGTCCCAGCAAAAGTTCTTTCTTTGGGTTGAATAATAACAGGGCGGTTATGTTTTCAAGCTTGAAATCCTTTGTCTTACCACTCTAGAGCAGCTTAATATATAGCAGGACACCTATGTCCTGTGATCCTGAGAAAAGCAGAAGCATAAAGAGAGAAAGCCGTTGGGACTTATGACCATGGAGAGTAAAATGGCCAGTGATGTGGCTCATCACCATGAACTTGTTTATTTTGAGGAAAGTTTGACTGATTGTTATTTTTGTCTAGGCAGCAGAGACGAAAGAAGCTCACGAAGCCGAAGGAAAAGTGGAGTCTGAGAAGGCAGAGTAAGTTCTTGGTAGCATGGGCTGCTCTAATTGCTGTGCTTAATAGTTCTCGATGTTAACTACTATTTTGTTGTTATGGTAAATAGAAAGCTTGATTTCTATTAATATAAGAAACAGATATTGTGCAGGCCCTGGATACATTTCTTTTTTTTCTTTTTTATGGCTGAGTAATATTCCGTTGTGTGTGTGTGTGTGTGTGTGTGTGTGTGTGTGTGTGTGTGTATCTTTTCTTTATCCATGCAGCTATTGATGGATGCTTCAGTTGCTTCCATGTCTTGGCTATTGTAAATAATGCTGCTGTGAACACTGGGGTGCATGTATCTTTTGGAATTACTGTTTTCGTTTTCTTTGGATATATATACCCAGGAGTGAAATTGCTGGATCACATAGGAGATCTATTTTTAGTTTTTTGAGGAATCTCCATACTGTTTTCCATAGTGGCTGCACCAATTTACATTCCCACCAACAGTGCACAAGGGTTTCCTTTTCTCCAGATCCTGGCCAGGACTTGTTATTTGTTGTCTTTTTGATGATAGCCATTCTGGCAGGCGTGAGGTTTTGTGGTTTTGATTTGCATTTCCCTGATAATTAGTGATGGTGAGCATCTTTCCATGTGTGGATACATTTCTTTTTTACCCCAGCTATACAGTAAACACAGTCTAATAATTTTGTTCACTTTAGACTCCAAATAGTAGATCAGAGTTTCACCATCTGACCGAGCAAATTATCAAACACTCACACTTAGCAACTTCATATAATGTTGATGATGGTGATATCTGGTAATTACTGAATAACTGTTACATACCAGGCCTTTTGCTAAGCTCTTTTATACAATATCTCATTTAATTCCTACGACAAACTTAGAAGAATAGGTACTGTTGGTAATGCCCATGAAAGCCTAGAAAATAAAGGACACCATTTCTGAAGGGGAAAAAGGTTGGTAAGGCAAAGTTCAGAAGAACTTGTATATAACTGATGTACGCCTGTGACTGTCACTCATCAAAGCAGGCACCGCTCCTAAATACAAAGTTGACAACCAAGCACTATGGGTAATAAAGACCTGAGGTTCCCACCCTCAAGGAATAATACATCTCCCACCCATCTCAGCCAAGATTTCTCTTTAGCTTCCCTGCGAGGGCCCGGCCTCCCTCTCCCCTCCATGATGAGTGGCCTTCTCATTCCTGCAGCACGGAAGATGGGGAGAAAGAGGACACAGCCAAAGAAGAGCAGGCCGAGGCCGGGTGGGCAGATGCGACCAAAAGGAAGAAGCGATGGTGTGGCCAGAAAATTGAGAAGCCTGAAGCCTTCATGGCCAGTTTCTTTAAAGGGCTGGAAATCTATCAGACCAAGCTGCTGGTGAGTGCTCTGGCCCTGGCCCCGCTCGGGTGCAGGCGCTGGCCCGGGCGGACCTCAGAGAAGTGGCCACTGACTTCGTTTCACGTTTGGTTAGTTGTTCTTCCTCGTCTTTCTCATTCCTCTTCCTTCCCTCTTCTCGATTATCTGTCTGTCCCTTGTGTTGGAGGGAAAGGAACGGGGAAAAGGCAGGTGCTGCAGCCCCTCTACCCCGCCCTCTCTCTAGAAGAGCTGCTCCTTTATGTGTGCTAGGTGGGGACTCGGCCCATCCTGGTCCAGAACTTCAGAAGTAGTGAGATCATCCAGATGCAGAAAGAACATTCCTGTGTTGTGTCAGGTTCTCACACTAGTCCTCAAAAGCTTTGTTACTCCACACACCCTCAGCCCAGCTTGTAATATCCTTTCTCCGGCAAATTGCCCACTGAGGCACAGTTGCTGAAAGCCAGGACTACACCTCCCAGCACCATTGGTGGGAGCCCCGCTCCACGGAGAAGGTGAGAGCTTCCCCAAGCAGCTACCATTCCAGTCCTCAAGTGTCGATTTTTCCCGGGAAGATGGCAGTGGGTATGGGAACGGTTCCCCCTAAAAGGGGAGAGGCAGAAGCGCTGGGTCTGTGACTTACAAAGAGACAGAGACTCTCAGCCTCCTCAGTCTGGCTGCAGCCAGGGTGGGAGCTTCAGGGGTCTTTGGTGGGCCTAGATCACTCATAGTGTCCAAATTGACTGCTTACTTGCTGTGTGGAGGGTATACACACGTATGCACGCACATATGCCTTCATAACAGCATGAGTCCTGTGCTGGCGGCGTGTTTAGGCCTTTGCTTCCCTGAGGTTTAAACCAGAGCAGGGTTCCCTTGAGCATCATTCTGAGCAATTTTTTTAAAAAATCATCAATTTTGGTCCCCCCAAATAAGTCGTAAGAAGGCCAGGACAGTCCTAGATGAGTGGTTACCAAAGAGTAGGACTAGTCCTGTGTAAACTTCTAATCAGAGAAGATCATCTGTGTGAAAGAGGGAAGGTCCTTCTCGCTGCCAGAGCTCTTCTACTTCTGCCTGTCCTTTTCTTTTCAGCACTACCTGGCCAGGAATTTCTACAACCTGAGGCTCCTTGCTCTGTTTGTAGCCTTCGCTATCAACTTCATCCTGCTCTTTTACAAGGTGACGCTTCATTCAGGGGGTATTTGGTGAATAGATTATATACTTTTTAAAAAGTAGTAGAGGTTATGCTCTTAATTCAAGCAAAAACTCTAATATCTAAGGAAACTTCTAAGACACTGGCTTCTAAAACAAAGGACACTGTCTTTAGCAATGGGGAGAATAGAGAGACTGGTTGTAAGGGAAGCCAGTTAGGGCACCATTTCAATCACTCAGGCTTGTTTTAGTTACTACTTAATTCTGCAGACATTTGTTGGGTGTCTACAATGGGCTAGACCCTATATTAGGAGCTGTAAGGTATTTCAAACTGAATGATAAATACAGTTCTTTCGCTGAGGAATAAGGTAACAAAGAACCATGATAGTTGGCCCGTATGTTAGAACTATTATGAAGGAAGAATTAATAGGAGTTGGTTTCTGGATGTGGAAGACAGGGACTCATCGAGATAAATGAAGATTTTGAATGTTGGTAAGTGGGTCTTGTACACTGTAGATGCATAATAAATGTTAGTAGGATGAACTAATGAATGCTGTAGGTCCTGGCTTCTTTTTTGACATCGTCTTTAACTGGCTATTCCGTCTCTTGCCTCTCTCCCTTCCTATTGAAAACCACAACTCTAATTTTTATAAAATATGCTCTTATCCACGTCAGTATTGCACTTGATAAACTAATGGCTTGCTGTTGCCCATAGCAGAAGAATGGAAGTCTGTAGAGGGGTATGGCGAAGCCTAGCTTTAAACACATGGAGAGGTTGAGGTGACTCAGCCATGCATGTGGAGACGGCCAGCAAGCAGCTGGACGTGCGCGGTAACAGCCTCAAAGGCGCCGATTTGGGAGTCACTGTGTAAGGATGGCAGTGAAGCCACGGGTGTTAGTAGCATCTAAGAAAGAAGGGAAATGTCTGCACTTGTGCATATGCGAGTTTGTCCTAGCCTCCTCCCAGGCTGTAGCATTTTTTTGTTTTCAATTCATTTGTTTTATTTATTAATTTTTGGCTGTGTTGGGTCTTCGTTGCTGCGCGCGGGCTTTCTCTAGTTGCGGCGAGCTGGGGCTACTCCTTGTTGCAGTGCGCGGGCTTCTCATTGCGGTGGTTTCTCTTGTTGTGGAGCACGGGCTCTAGGCACGCGGGCTTCAGTAGTTGTGGCACACGGGCTCAGTAGTGTGGCTCATGGGCTGTAGAGCACAGGCTCAGTAGTTGTGGCGCACGGGCTTAGTTGCTTAACCACTGGGCCACTGGGGAAGCCCCAGGCCGTAGCATTTCAAAGATTACCTCCTGCAGCTGAAGGATTGTATAACATGTCGCAACGCTTTCCTAACTTTTAAATTTGGGGCTTGTTTTCAAGACGGAGGTTTTGTCTCTTAAAACTTTTGTTTGCAATTATTAGAGATCCTGGAGATTCCCAGGAACGAGGTACCTAAAAACCTCATTCCCTCACCGAGTAATACGGAATCACTACTATTTGCACAGCAAATCCCAGCAGTGTAAAATATGTGGGGAGAGCCCAGTGGCGGAGGTCTTTCCGGTGTTTCTAAGAGAGTGTGTGTTTTGGGCCAGGTCACCGAGGAACCTTTAGAAGAAGAGACAGAAGACATTGCAAACCTGTGGAATTCCTTTAATGATGAGGAAGAGGAAGAAGCAGTGGTATTCTTTGTCCTGCAGGAGAGCACTGGATATATGGCGCCAACGTTGCGGGCCCTGGCCGTTATCCACACCATCATTTCTTTAGTCTGCGTGGTGGGCTATTACTGCCTGAAGGTAAGTTGCCAGCCACTCTGAATCTAACCTGACTCCTTGGGGAAGAAGCATCATTTTTGAACCCAGCCAGCCCTTTGTTCTCTAAGACTTCAGACTAACAGCCTAAGGTTGGTGAAGCCGCAGCCTGGGCGCCACCCAGGAGCGGGTTAAAACTGCAGACCCTTGCCCCCTACCCGAGCCTTTTAAATCAGAATCTGCAGTGGACATGATCCGCAGGTGATTTGTATTCACTCTCTGGTTTGAGAAGCCTTGGTCCAGGAGTCTCACTTCAGCCACCCCTCGTGACATTGCATAGAGTCCAAATCATCGGGCTAAGTCAGGCATGGAGCTGGTGATGAGGGGCTCTTCTCACCTTTGAATTTATGTTGAAAGTTCTATAAAAATGCTTTTCACCTTTCAGAAATTATTCGGTCTTAGCTATTTGAGATGAGTTACTGTTTCCGTTGTCCTATTGCTGCATAACAAATCACCCCCCAGAATTCAATGGCTTAAAATGATAACCATTTTCTCTCTGATTCTGTGTCTGCCTGGGCACATTAGAGCGGTT